CGCCGGCTAGGCAAGCGGTGGGGGGAAGGAGCGGCCCCAGCAGGCCAGGCTCAGTCCCCCAGAGAGAGGAGGCACTGTGTGGGGCAGGGCTGCTCACAGCTCCCGCTCACCCCCGGCACACTTGCCCAGGCGCTTCTCAGGAGGAAGGTCAAGGCAGGGACTCCATCCCCAGGAAGGAGCTTTCCTGAGCCTCTGCTTTCCCTTTGCTCCTGTCGCGGTAGCGGGGAGAGGGAGAAGGAGCTCTGAAGTCTGGACAAGGGCCACAGACTCCCAAGCCTACCGAGAGATCAGCAGGTCTGCGAGGAAGCTCCAAAAGTGCCTTCCCCCACTCCTCTGCCCCCACACAGCACCAGCATCCCCTTGGCTGGCGCCAGCAGGCTTTGTCCCAGCTGCTCCTCAGCACCTGCCAACACGCAGATGCCCCTAGGCACTGCCCCGCTGCGGGGAAGGGTCTGCAGGGCACAGCTGAGCGCCCAGGGGCTCCTGGGCTGGCCTCTGCGGGCCCTGCCAGGGACAAGACGCAGGACACAAACAGCTGCCAGCAGGAAAAGCTCTCCGACCCCAGTGCAGATCTGGTCGGAGAAGGAGAGCAAGTCACACACAAGTGCTGTGGGAAGGGGAATTTGCACACCTCCCTGCCGTCCCCTTCGCTGCAGGCATTTCTCTCCGAGCAAGCCCCTCGCGTGCCCTCTCCCACCCTGCACAACCTCCGTCCTGCAGGCCACAGCAGCCGGGGCACGAGCCACCTCCTCTGCGGCCAGAGCCGCGGCAGAGCGGAGGGGCAGCGCTCCTGCTGCCGGCCCCTTTCCTGCTGCCCCACCAAGGACAAGGCTGCCCTTCGGAGACATCCCCTGAAGACTATCTGCGGGCAGGGGTCCCCAGGGGCTGCGAGCGCCCCTCCAGAAGGGCACAGCTCTCCTACGGGCTCTTCAGTGCCATACTCGAGAGGCCTGGGCCTGGCCACAGCAACCAGGGGCCTCCGCACGTCCTCCTCACCACGGTCCCCGCAGCCGGGCTGCACACCGAGAGGAGATGCGGAGCTGCCCGTTGAGAGAGGACAGCCGTCAGCAGGAGGCACAGGGAAGCCGGCTTGCCTCCTGC